TGGTATCATCATCACAATTGTTGAGCTCTATACAATCGAAACACTCCCTAACATACAGAGCCACCCCGCCGCCTCTCCTTCCTCGCCTGTCCCTTCTGAAGAGTTTATAGCCATCCATTGCAGCACTCCAATCATGAGAGTCACCCCACCATGTTTCTGTGATGGTGACTAAGTCATATCTCTCCCGCTGCACAATGGCTTCCAGCTCCTCCTGTTTGCTGCCCAGATCTTAAAGGTGGCCAGGGAAATAGCACGTGTGTGTGTGTGTGTGTGTGTGTGTGTACACTAAAGCTTTTCCCTAAGTTCAAGTCTCTGTACTATTTGTTTTTCTTTCTCTTTTAGCTGTGAATCTAAAGAGCAATAAGGTAAAACAGCTCCAGAGCCATAACTCCCCGAGTTTGTTCCTGTCACAATTTGGTTTTCATTTTCCCACAGGATGGATATATTGACTTCATGGAATATGTGGCTGCCCTCAGCCTTGTTCTCCGTGGGAAGATGGAGCAGAAATTGCGGTGGTATTTCAAGCTCTATGATGTAGATGGCAACGGCTGCATTGATCGACATGAATTGCTCAACATCATTAAGGTGAGTTCTTTCCTCTTTCCTTAAAGACAAATTCCACCACACAAGTAAGACTTTCGCTATTCCCCATATGGATGATCATGGATGAGACCTTCTTTAACAGCATTCTTTCTTTTAGCAGAATAACCCGCAATCTCATAGTCCAGTAAGCAGACTTGATAGACTCTTCTTTACCACCGCAGCATATGTTACAGCATAGCTAACTCCGTAAAATTGTTTTAGCTGCCTAGGACCTAAATTGCACTTTCCAAGATTTCAGACTCCGTGACTGTCTGTTGCAGTCTCTGCAATGTGTCCTTCATATGTCCTTTTCCCCACGCGAATAGTAGTTGGAGAGTTACTCCCAGTTTGCTTTTTAGAACCAGCTCCTAAATGTCAATGTAATAAAACATTTCTGACTCTGGCAAATAGTTTGAAGAAGAATGACTGTCAATGGAGAAGATTGTATGCAAATAGCTATTGTGGAAGGTGTGGGAATTACAGGCATAAATGTGACTTTATGAATATCTCAGTGAATTATGCTGGAAGTTCAGATTATTCTATAGAGACTGGGAAACTATGCAGGAAAAAAGATGCAGGAAAGATTCAATGACCCTAAATAATTTACATTTCTGAATAAGAAAGGTCAGAAAATTGATTTGATAAAGATTTGAAGCCTGAGTTGTCCACAAATAAAACCACTAATAAGATGTTAGTAATGCATTCTCATCTGGATATGAATTTTAGTGCTGGGCATTGAAGAGACCAAACCAAATCAATAACTGTAATAATATGCAGTCTCCTACTAGTAACTTGCAATAGACATAGTCAGACATCACAGTACAGATAGTAATTGTATAACACAGAGCTCACGAGAAACAAGTCCTGTGGGCGATAATTGGTGGCAACCAATTTACTGCTCTTTTAATTTTGTGGGTGTAGTTCAGTGTCTTTTTTGGCAGCCTTAAGAAGTAGCTGAGGTGATACTTAGTTTTAGTAAAATGGCATTTGAAAAAGAATGAAGAAACTTACCAAATATCAGAAGGTAAAACCTAGAAAATGAATAGTCTTAGAATCAATATGAAGCCTCTGGAATCACATATTTCATGGACATCCCTAAAAAAAGGAAACAATTGGGCATGGAAAGAAAAGAGAACCCTGCACTATATGGTTATGAATAACCATAATCATAGTAAACAGTAGTGAATAATGCTTAAACTTTCTCAAGCTGAAAATGAATTTCCAGTGAGCTTTAGGGAGACGCAGGACACACAGGAAGCAGTATATCAATGGAAATAGGGAAAGTAAGAATAGAAATAAATGACCATGGCATATAACAAAGGAATTTCATAATGTCAAATGCAGAGGGTGTTTGACAGTGTTTATTGGGCTTGGTGGACCATAGGGTAATAGAAAGTAGATCAATTAGGTGGATCCTGATTCTGCCATTTCTGCAGTGCTTAATCTCTACCTAAGCAGATTTAGGGTGATTCTCTGGGTTTCACTGCTCATTCCATGCTCCAGAACCATGTTCCCTTTGCACCCTTCAGTGCCAACCATAAGGCCTGATGATTTCTGCTGTTTTCCTATGATGCTGGTTCATTTGTATGGGGAAGGTACCAGGCATGACTGCCTTGTTCTCAGTCTATGCTGACAGGCTGCAGTGGAATCAGTCTATCATTTAAGGAGCCATTAGGCAGCTTCCTATTCTTGCTCTTTTCTTTTAGGCTATTCGAGCTATTAATGGTGGTGACCATGAAACTAGTGCAGAAGAGTTCACCAACCGAGTCTTCAACAAAATTGATGTGAATGGAGATGGTAAGATTCCTGTCTTTGTCATCCAACTCAGTGGGTCTCTGTGCTACATGTGCTACATCTTCACTGCTACATCCATGTCTTCCTTTCTTGATTGAACTTTATGCCTCTTCATTTTATATTTGCTTGTTATATGATTTCTCATGCAGTAATGCGTTCTCCATGAATTTTGCTAAGGCATTTTTCTCCTTGCATCGTACATAATCAGTATGACAGGATTTGTTCTCTGTACTAAGTCTCAGCTGTGTTCTGTCCACTTAAGTTTGGTAGTGGGGTTTTGGAGTGGCATTATTTTTGCCTTTTTCTATGTTGCTGTGTAGCTTATGTCAGAGTTAGAAGTGGGAAATATTAACAGATGGTCCCAGCTGCTCCTAAATATTTCAGTAGCAGGGAAAGGAAGAACTGGAATTTAATGTTGAAGTTCAGAGTTTCTTCACTGGGTCTGCTGCAGGCAGTACAGCAAGCACATGAAGTGCTATGCACCAGTCAGTCAAAAGTTGGTCAACACCACTGTAGTCGCTGTATGTCCCTGACAGGTATTTCTTTCCTTGCTACTTCATGTGCTTATTACCTACTGACATGCTCTTTTGTTATTCCGGAAGAACTCTGCCGAACTGCTTCCATGCACAAGGGCTTTTTGGCCTAGAACAGAAAACCCATTTCTGCCTGTCACAGCTTCCTTCTGTCACTTCTTTTAAACATGAAAACCAGCAAGTATGGGGCAGGCTAGGACTATGACAGGTTAGGCCAAATAGGAGGTGGCTAATCTAGCCTTATTTGTAGGAAGCTATGATCCCACTCCTTAGCTACACACTTCCTCTATTTTTTCTTATGTACCTTTTTCCTTGTGTGGGGAAAAAAAAAGGAAGCTGGAGTTGCCTGGATATCGGGGAAGTTTCACATAAGCTTAAAAAGACTCTCTGAGGCCTCTTAGTGCTTTAGAACAGTGAATATATAGTAAGTGGTCTCTAAAGTTAGATTACTGCACTCCTTTTGCTGTTCAAATGTGGATTGGCATGATTCTGATGCCTTCTGTCTGTGTCTGATACAGGTGAACTTTCTCTGGATGAATTTGTGGAGGGAGCAAAGAAAGACGAGGAGTTCATGGAGGTTATGATGAAAAGTGTGGACCTGTCACACATTGTGGCCATGATCAACAACCGTCGGCATAGTGTATAAATCAAGCTGGGAGGAAACGCTGTGCCAATAGACAGAAGGGTGTACACACACCAGAAAGGAGAGACAGCTTTTTTTAAAACAAACAAAATTTCCATAAAACGCATATGGAAGTAGGAACAGAAAGACACTGCTATCTTTGTATCTGAGTGCATGTTCCTGTACAAATATTGAAGCTCAGCCACATACATGCAGGGCAGGTTCAGAAAAACTGGATCTGGGTGTCAGTATTTGACTTGACTTCCTAAAATTTAAAGGCCAAGTTTCAGGGCACAAATTTTCTCCTTATTCTGTGTCCCAGAATGTCACTTTGCAATGGACTAAAAGTAACACTAAGTTTGTGAAGAGCACTAGCAGAACTGGATGACAGAGTGTGGAGAATTTCTGACGTGTACAAAAGATGAGCTTCAAACTGTTATCAATGTAGAGAACTATCAAAAGAATGTAACTTCCACTGTTCTGGTCATGGTATTAGATCATAAACACCACCATGTTTGTCTGTACCAGATGTGCTTGGATTTGGTAGTCTCTACAGAAGTAGCTTTTTTCATAAGATGTCAAGAGCTGAAAGAAAAATCAGTCTTTAAGGCTGACTGATAGTGACAAATCTGTTCCCAGCTGCACTGTCAGTAATGCTGCTGTTTGCAGCCTTCTGTGATCAAAGAACTCTTTACCAAACAAGTCAACAGTTTAGGAGCAGTTTCTGTAACCAGAGAAAATATGCTACTCAGTTTCCCAAAGCAGAAGATTACCTGAGAGATTGAATCTTTTTTACACTTGTTGTCCTACTACTCTCCTCTCATACAACTGAATAAATGAAGTATGTGAAGATGATCCTAATATTGTTGCTTCACACATCCTTTATTGGTCTTTCTTTCTATTCTTGGAGAGAAAGCCTAAGAAGCAAAAGAAACAACTCAGCAAGGTGACTTGTGAATTCTGCTGTTCATGTGAATACTGGAGTGAAGTTGATACTTTAGATCAGTGCTGCCACAAATGACTCTGTCTTTGTACCCAATGGGAAGAGTGATGTAGCACTGAGCAAACTGTGTCTTGTTCACTAACGTTAGGTAAGGTCACAATCAGAAGCTCCTTTGAATCTGGAGAGAGAACCAGAAGGTAAGAAGAATGCAGGAGAAGTTCAGCAGAGTGCCTATGCCATAGTCAGGCATGTTTTTCCTGTGCAGGAGGAAGAACTTGCAGACCTGTAACAAGAAGACTTTAGAGTGGATTTAATCTTGCTTATATTTAAGCTTCTGTGATGTACATGTGTATACTGAACAAAGTGTCTAGGCTTTCATCTAAATCAAGGGAGATTTAGTCAGTATTGTCACTGGAGCTTGAGAGAGAGAGAGAGAGAGTGATCATATTTAGAGTAGGCATCAACATTTTGCCAGGCGGGCTCATACTCCGGGTCCCACTGGCATGTATATGTCTGCAGTCTTAGACCTTCCAAGAGGAATCACAACCTGGGTATTGGCTAACATTGCTCAGTTCTCCAGAGGATTATTATGAGCATATGCTGTTGGACTCTGCTGTCCCTTTGGACTGACAAAGGCAGAGTGTTTTGTTCAAGACTGTTGAACCTGTCCTGTACCTGTTACAAGTCCTCAGTCTCCTGCAGTTTCATGGGTCAGTTACATGTAAAACTGCATTTTTATCATCTGACATACAGAAAAAAACTTATTTTTCATTCTTAGGAAAGTAAAGAATTTTTGTAAGTGCAGCTGACGTATTAAAGAAATCACCAAGAACTTGTAGCTGCCAGCAGTGTTGCAGCAGGCTGCTATACACAGTATACAGAATCTTCTTGATGTACATAAAGGAGAAGGGCATGTACACAATACATTCTTAAGAATAATCCTGAATATTTGTAAGCAGAGTTTAATTTTTTTTTTAATAGACGTTATAGAAAACTGGTTCTTCCTTAGCTGTCATTGCTGATGATGCTGGAACATTTCCCAGCTAAGATGCAGTTATGACATTTGTAATAGACAAAAAAACCCCAAACCGCATCATGCTATCACTACACTAAGTTGCAGGTGTGTGTTTTGTTCTTAATGTTTCTGTTCTTCTGTTACTGAATGACTTCACTCGTTTTGGCTCTGCAGCCAGTGTGTTCTTTGAGAGACCAATCCAGCAGTATATGAGCCTTTGTCAGAAGCTATGGGAAGGGAGACTGGGGAGAGACTGAGGAAATCTCTGTAAAGGGGAGATAATTGTTTTCTGACCTACTTGGCTTTCTTTGTACAGTTAAGATTAAAAAAATGTACAATAAACATATCTTGGAACTTTTCCCTTTGATAGAAGAATAGAAGAATTAGGAGGAGGAGGATAGAATCTAGAGCTATGGTTTGGATTCAGCACATTAGGGTTTTCAAATATCTCCAAGGATGGGAACTCCACAATTTCTCTGGGTTAGGGTGATGGTTTGGAGTTAGGAGTTTAGGATTAGGGAATATGGTTAGGATGCTAAGTGTTGAAGTTATCATTTGGGATTGGGTCAAGGGTTACGGTTTAGGTTGGGGTTAGAATTAGGGGGTTGGGTTTTGACGGGCTCAGGTTTGGGATTTGGGTTAATGTTGGTAGTTTAAGGGTTAGGAATTAAAGTTCAGATTAGGGTTTAGAGGTTTGGGTTGGGGGATAGGGGTTAGATTTAGGATTAGGATTGAGAGAGGGTTAGAATTTGAAGTTTGGGGTACAGTTAAGGGTCAGGTTCATCATTCAACTTCATGGGTTAGGGCTAGAGGCAGAGAGGGCTCTGGAAGCTGTTTGCAGGAGCTGTCCCAGCACTGGCTGGGACTGCAGAGTCACACCATGGAACTGGTGGTGCTGGCGCAGTTCCTGAACATCCTGTCCCAGAAGGTGCAGTGCTGGGTATGGTAATGCAGTCCTGGGAACTGCACCAAGGCTGTGGCCCTGGCCAAGGACCAGGTTCTGGCATGTAGGAGCTGCAGATGGGCAGATATTTATGTGGTAAAGGTGGGAGATGAGGCCTCCTGCACTTGTCATGGTTTGGGGACTTGCCCTGTGATTGTGGGTGTGTAGAGTGAGGGTATGTCCCATGGGCCTTTGAAATCCTTTTGCCTGTGTCCCCTTCCTCAGGCCACCATGTGGGTGATGGTGGAAGGACCCAGCATGGAGATGTCACATCCTCAGGGGGCATTTAAAAACCCTGCCTAACCCCAACACCCAGGACACGGTGGAAATGGGCTTAAAAAATGCCTTCAAATCAAAATCTAGACCTTCAGCTCAGATTTCTCCTCCCTAACTCTGAGCATTGAACAGATTTCCTGTCATCCTGGTCAGGAGAGTTCCTCCACTAGCAGGGATGGGCTGGGAGAAGGCACCTGGGAAACATCCAGACTATAGTCAGGAAGCAGGGAGGAATGCAGCTGCCAAAACAGCGGGGACCTTAATTAGCTGTCTGATCATCCTCTATCTCTCCTACAGACTCGGAGGGGGTCTGTCCATGATGTTCATTGCAATGTCATAGCATTGCAATTCATAGCATTGCATGGGGTTGTTGTGATGCAAGTGCAGGACCCGGCACTTGGCCTTGTTCAATCTCATACAATTGGCCTTGGCCCATTGATCCAGCCTGTCCAGGTCCCTCTGCAGAGCCTTCCTACCCTCGAGCAGATCAACACTCCCGCCCAACTTGGTGTCGTCTGCAAACTTACTGAGGGTGCACTCGATCGCCTCATCCAGATCATTGATAAAGATATTAAACAGAACTGGGCCCAACACTGAGCCCTGGGGAACACCGCTCGTGACCGGCCGCCAACTGGATTGAACTCCATTCACCACAACTCTCTGGGCCCGGCC